ATTAGATCTTAAGATGGCAGTATGAAAAAATGGATTTGTACTTGGGCAAAAAGGAAGAAAGAAAAGGATGATTATATTGTGTAAGATCAATGGGGTGTGTGTGTGTATGTGTGTGTGTTAAATTTTAGGACCATCCCCCCATCCCCACAGAAGGCATCTATGAGCAAAAGTGGGCATTTTGCATTCAAGACAGAAAGATTTATATAATTGTTAAGAGGGTAGGTTATTGATCTAGGACAAGCCTTTTAAACCAAGTTCTCATTCTACATTTGAGAAAAATGAGACCCGAGGAAGTTAGGTGATTTTCTTAAGGTCATACAAGTAGTCGATATCAGAGGCAGGATTTGAACCCAATCCCTCTAACTATTGAATCAGTTTCCTCTCCCCTGTATCACGCTGGAGGTCATGTTGGAATAAAAAAAACAGGGATCAAGGCTACGGTAGCTAGGTGGCACAGTGGATAGAGCTCCAGCCTTGGAGTCAGGAGGACCTGAGTTGAAATCCGGCCTCAGACACTTGACACTTAAACTAGCTGTGTGACCCTGGGCAAGTCATTTAACTCTGACTGCCTAAGCAAAAAAAAAAAAAAAAAAGAATAAACAGGGATCAAATGCCTATGTTTTTGTGGGAGGTGCCTAAGAGTAGAGGAATCAGGCATGGAAGGTGAGTTGCTCTATTTGTGAGCCACAAATTAAGCAAAGTGGCACAGTAATCAGAGAATTAGGTTTGGAATCAGAAGACCAGGGTTCAAATTTCAGTTTGGCCACTCAGTATGTAACATTAGGGAAGACACAATCTCTCTGGGACTTAGTTTCTTCATTTGTAAAATGAGAGGTTTGAGCTAAATGACCTCTAACGCCTGTTCCAGATAATCCGATAATTTTATGAAGCCACAATAAAGCTAGAATAAAAACCATAAAATGTCTTTTCTCAATTTACAACAAACTACAGGAACAGACAAGAATTATCATTATAATATGCGCCCCTTTAACACAGCACCCTGAAGACAATACTCATCGATGAGGTTGCTTGATTCCATGTTAGAACTTCCAGACTTAAGTTCAGAAACATGAATTTAGGAGAGAGCAAAGATAAAGCAGAGAATGTTATACCCGGAAAATGGACAGTGTGCCAGGGTCACCTTGGCGCGAGGCCTGGACTCCTTGGCAACTTTCCTGTTGCCAAGATGTCAATTCATTTGTCCTTGAAGGTCTCTGTTGCACAGTTCATGTAGCAAGTGATTGCCAGCGAAACTCCCCATCATAGTGGCTTAGTACAGAAGCCAGAAACAAATTCGAGTCATTATTTCAGTCTTTAAAAGAAGCACCATCTCAAATCAGTCACTATTCTATCCTGTGTGTCAATTTTGGCACCCCAGCTAGACCATAAGCTCTTTGAAGGCAGGGACTCTATTTTTATACTTTTTCTTTACCCTCTACAACTACTATCACACTTGATCAGTTTTTTGAATGAATGAGCAAAAGTGTAAAATAGGCAATATACTATGAGAATTGAAAACTTAAAAAAAAAATTCTCTTCAACCTAATCTAGTCTCAATCCCAGTTTAGAATGTTAAACTTTGTCTACGTTTCTACAAATTTATCAAAATATGAATTTGAAAGATTCACAGTATTTCATGTTGGTAGAGACCTCAGTGGTCAAATTCAACCTATACCCATTTTACCTAGGTCTAGAAAATATCCCTAAAGTAGGACACTATCTAACTGAACACTTACAGAAGACCTGTCAATGTAGTTAGTGATAGGACCTACAAAACAGTGGTAGTGATGACAGTCCCTAAGTTTCAACCACACACACAAAAAATAATGAATGAATAAAAATAATTCACACCCAAAGAGCATTTTAAACTTTGCAAAGTATGACATGAAATGAGTAACGGAATGCTGAGAGATCTGGCCAAAATTCACATTTTTTAGGATCTAAAAATGAAGGAATGATTTAAGGAATGATGACTTGCAGGAATTATTGTTTATTCATGATTACACAAGAAAATGACTTCATTCAATTCAACAAAGCAAATACTTCCTAGGGTGTGTTAAAGGGGATATTCTCTAGGGACATAAGGAGATAGTACAAGCACCCAACAAGGTCTTTGTATGGGTATACTTAACCACTCAGAGGCAGATAGGCAGCTGCAGTGGATACAAAGCTGGGCCTGGAGTCAGGAAGACCTGAGTTCAAATCCTGCCTCAGATACTTCCTAGCTGCATGACCATGGGCAAGTCAGTTAACCTCTGTTTGCCTCAATCTACCGGAGAGAGAAATGGCAAACCACTGCAGTATCTTTGTCAAGAAAACCCAAAGGGCATTATTGGAATGCTGTGGTCCACAGGGTCACGAAGAGTTGGACACTGGGTAGTGAATCTAAGACACAGAACAGGAACCATTAACATGGAGAACTGTTAAGAGAGAAATAGCGCTGATAAAGGAGGAAAATGCCTAAAAAGCAATTGTCTTAATACTGTGAAAAAAACAAACATCTCACCCCCCATGAAAATTATGCAATTAATAAGCTGGAGAGAAATGGTTTTCCTCCTATTAGCATATCAGAGAGACAATGTGACTTGACCTTACATTTAGTTTGAATTAGCATGCATTAATGCAATCACAGATCTAGAGTTGGAGGGCTCCTAATCCAAGGCCAACTAATCCAAACCCCTTTGCTTGAAAGAAGAAACTGAGGCCCAGAAGTCAAGGGACTCATCCCAGATCAAACAGTAAGAGAAGAACTAGAATTTTAATCCAGTTTCTCTTTCTGCGAATTTTTTTTTTAATTTAAAAATTTTTTTAAATTAAAAAATTAAAAAATCCAAATTACTAGGAATTGTATTGCAATGTATTTTAACATTTTTTAAAGTTTTATTGCTGTTTTGTTTTCCCATTACAAACATGTACAGATTACTCCTACTTCATGAGGTCTCTTGTAACAAAGTAAAATAAGACAGTCACCTCATCTGAAAGCACATGCAATAAACATTCCCCATCTACTGTAGTTCTACCTTCTTATCTTTTTTTTAAATGAACAGAAATCTATTTTTTCACCTTCCCACCCCACTAAAAAAAATTACTGTAACAAATATGCAGAGTATAGCAAAACACACTGCCTCAGTAGCAACGGTCACAAATGCATGTCTCTTTCAGAACCCTAAATCCATCATCTCTCTGTAATGGACAGCATATCTCATCTTCAGGGCTCTGGAATTATGAAGTCATTGTATTGATCACAGTTCTTACAACTTCCAAAATTCTACAGTGTTGTGGTTTTTGCATAAATTGTTCTCCTGATTCTGCACAGCTCATAAAAGTCCTCAAAATTTTGGTTTTCTGCTTATGTCATTCTTTTCAAAAGCCTATTAGAAGAGAGAAAGTAGGAAAGACAGAGAAGACAAAGAAAGACCAAGATGAAGAGTGATTGTATGTTGTTGTTCAGTCCTGTCCGACTCTAGATGACCCCATTTGGGATTTTCTTGGCAGAGATATTTGAGTGGTTTGCCATTTCCTTCTCCAGCTCCTTTGACAGATGAGGAAACTGAGGCAGACAGGGTTAAGTGACTTGCCCAGGATCACCCAGCTAATAAGTGTCTGAGGCTAGATTTGAACTCAGGAAGATGAGTTTTCCTGAGTTTAGGCCTGGTGCTTTATTCATTTATTTGAACTCAGGACTTCCTGACTCAAGGCCCAGAGCTTTATCCACTGAGCTGCTTGCCTGCCCTTATGCATGATTTACTGGCTCCAATCTCTGTTTGGGTTAGGCATTAATGAAATCTAATAATAATAATAATTATAATAATAATAAATTGACATATAGTGTATATCACCTTTGCACGTTGTTTGCACGTTGTCTCTCACATTAGACTGTTAGCCCTCTGAGGACAGGCCTTTCTCTATATCTCTAGGGTTTAGCAGTGGCCTGCACATAGTTAGCATTTAATAAAGCTTGTTGGCTTGACTTTACTTGGTTAGACATCATATAGTCTAATTATCTCATTTGCTTGATGAAGGAGCCTTTTCCTGAGTAGATCTGGGTGAATCCTCCCTGCCACCAACCAAATGGAAAGACACTTCCTGGTTTCTGTCTCATTCAAGGAAGGCAGATCCACTTCATTTAAATACGGCATGAAGTTAAGTCCAGAAATACTTGTTGACTTGATATAATGTTTTACCTAAATATGTGAGCCTCACATCAGCCCTATGTACCAGAGGTATTATTATCTCCATTTTACAGATGAGAAAACTAAAGACCAAGAAGGATAAGCAACTTGTCCATGTCAGAATTGGGATTTGAATCCACAACTTCCTGACTCTGGGGGCAGCTAGGTGATGCAGCGGATAAAGTGCAGGGAGGAAGACCCAATTTCAAATCCAGCCTCAGACATTTACTAGCTGTGTGACCCTGGGCAAGTCACTTCACCCTGTTTGCCTCAGTTTCCTCATCTGTAAAATGAGCTGGAGAAGAAAATGGCAAACCACTCCAGTATCTTTGCCAAGAAAACTCCAAATGGGGGAACAGAGAGTTGGATACGGACTTAAAAACACCTGAACAAAAACAACTTCCCCAACTCTAAGTGCAGCACAGTAGTAAAGTGACAATAAGGGGCCACCTAAACAGATAATGAGGAATAATATCTCAATGCAGCCCTCCCCATTCCAAAGCGTCTGAAGGACTGTGGATAAGAAGACGAGACAAGAAAAGAGCAGCCTCCAGGGAACCAGTACAGGAATCACTGGTAGGCACCGAGGAACTGACGAAATCTGACTCACTAATCACCTGCCATCTCAGTTGTTGGCAACTCCATCAGCAAACTCCTTGGAACTTCTGACGATGCCCTCACTTACCTCCACTGACTCTGGAAGGAAGTGATTAATTTCCCTCTTTATTTTCCCAACCAGCCAGCATTCCCTCCAATTCATCTAAGAAAAATGTCTCCCATTTTAAAAATGTATTCTTTTCTTTTTTTCAAAAGGTATTCTTTCCTTACCAATGTTGTAATCTCTTTCACATCATCGGTCACAGGATTCCCGCAGATCCCTTTGGTTTTGACGAGAGGGTTGAATAGGAGCAGCTGAAGATAAATGCAAGTGATAATCCAAGTCTAAATAAAAACAGAACAATAACTCAGTGACCAGCAGTATTCAACTTCAGTAATTAGAGTCATTTACCATCTTATGCTTTAATAGGAGCTTGGGAAGATGACTTCTTAAGAAACAAGCCATTGGGCTTCTGTAACTATAGAAAAGTTTAATTCCTAATTCTCAAGCATCCAACCTGTACCCACCAATGAATGAATGAATGAATGAATGAAGAATGATGTGGGTTCAGTTAAAACTGGAAATCTGATCCTAATAGTCCTTTCAATAGCATTATTGTTAACTTTTGTTAAACTTTTTGTTAAAGGGTCCCTAGGGCCAATTGCCTACGCAAGCATATCGAAATGACAGCACCTGTACCAACTTGCATTGGATTCATCATTGGAGGCGTCTTCTCCAACTCAGAGAATAAATAAAATTCAGCCCCTAAAGGCACCAAAAAGAACTCTTTCTTTCTTTCTTTTCAATGTACAATACTTGGCAAAGGTAGGGGAAATGAACAAGATTTCAAAGGAAGCAAAAACAGCATCAAGATGAAATGTAGCAAAAAAGGACTTCTCCAAATCCAGTAAAACTCCAAAGGAGTAAATGATCATTGTGTTTGATTAGACCATTAGGGGATATTCTTCGGGGCTTTATTCTAACCTCCTCCCGAAGATACAAGTGGAAAGAATTAAAATGTAAGCATCTTGATGGTAGGAGCTGTCTGCATCAACCAGCACCCAGGACTGTAGACACTCACTTAACTAAATGGTTGTTGAACTGAATTGAATTGAATTATCTGTCTACACATTGCTTCTCCAGAGTGGAATGTAAGCTTTCTGAGGGCAGCTAATAAAGTGAATCAAACTGGATGTCCAATGACTGAGAATGGATAACCAAATTTGGGCACAGGAATGAAATAAAAACATCACTAATTTGCCTCTGTTATTGTATCATCAATTCACCACTCTGCCTTACACACAGTAGGCGCTTCAAGTTGAACAGAACTGAATTATATGTCTACATGTTATTTCCTCCAATAGAATGTATTTTCCTTGTAACCAAAGGCTGTTTTGAGGGTTTTGTTTAGGGGAGAAAGGATAGCCCCAGTTCCTCATACAGGCCTTCACATACATTAGGTATTTAATAAATACTTGTAGAATGAATGTTAATGAATGAAAAGATTTCCTTGAGTTCAATAGGAGTCCGATACTTCTAGATCTAGAGATTTTTTTATTCTGAAGATGAAAATCTGAACTGGGCATTTTTTAAGTATTTCATAATTATACTTGGCTAGAAATATTTTCTACGAATGCTGACAGTCATGCATAATTAAAGAATATTTTTTTTTCAATTAAAATGCACCATCTAGCCCAAGAGTAGAGAACCTGTAGCCCCAAGGCCACATGTGGCCTTGAGGCCTAAAGTTCCCCAGCCCTGACCTAAGCTATTCTAACATGAGCAGGAGGACAAGGGTTATTTCCAACAATTTCTTAGAATAAAAATACTCTTTTTGATAGAAGGGCAGGTTTACCTCAAATCATGTGTACCAGAGGTCTCGAAAGCAATCTACCTTCCTTTACCATTTAACTGGCTTTCAGCAACAATCTTACTGAAAATCAGGATAGGACCATCTTAGAGAATACTGTGAGATTTTTTTACTTAACTGAATACAGTTCTATTTATCACTTAAGCACTTATTATATGTAGAGTGCAGTGCAAAGTGGCTATGAGGTTGGGGGCTAAGGACAAAGGAAGATACAATGATACAAAAAGTTATTACCCAGGAAGAGGGCATAGGTTTGTTCTGTTTGACCTTGGAGGGCACAATTAAGAATAATGAGTAGACACTGCAAAGGAGCAAATGTAGACAAGAAGGACAAACTCCCTAAAAATTGGAGCTATCCAAATGTTGACAGAGATCCCTTAGAAGGCAGATATTGCCGAGCCCCCAAAAAGGGCTGGACAGGGGGCTGCTAGGTGGCACAGTGGATAGAGCCCCAGCCCTGGAGTCAGGAGGGCCTGAGTTCAAATCTGGCCTCAGACCAGATGCTTGACACTTACTAGCTGTGTGACCCTGGGCAAGTCACTTAACCCCAATTGCCTTAAAAGAAATTTTAAAAGGGGGGGGAGGGGGCTGGATGACCACTAACTAACGCTATGGAAAGGATTCTCATTCATATGCAGAGGTCCTTTCCAAATCCAAGATTCTGGGATCCCTGATAAATAAAACCAAGGCCCCTGCTTTTATTGAGCTAATTAAGGAGTATGCAACACATACAAATATAATTAGAATGCAAAATTGAACATAAATGCAAATGAGAGGTACAAGGTAAATCTAGCTGCATGAGGTACAATGTTAAGCAATTAAATTATTTATTCATTTATTATTAGTAAATAATTTTCATCCCTCACTCTCCTCACTCCCACCCTCAGAAATAGCTTTATCTTGGTTCTACCAGAAACCTCTGTGAACAATGGTGAGAACTTTCCCAGCATGCCTCTGATACTTGGCTGCCTCAGGGTTTTATAAATACCTGGAGTCATGGACACACACTTGCTTTCTGCAGTATGCTACAATAGAATGCCTAATTTTCATCCTAATGCTGGTATTCTTATGTCTGATGTGAATGTATATGTTCTTTTAAAAGAATATTTTGTAGGAGCAAAGAACCATAAAGTAAGCAAATGACCAAGAACTAGGGAATGGCTAAATACATAATGATACAAGGATTTAATGGAAGAAACAATGAATATAAAGGAAAATGAGAGGAGGCATGGGAAGTTTGATATGAATTCACACAGACTGGAATAAACAGAACCAGGAAAACAATAGACACAATGACTGCAATAATGAAAATGAGAAAAGAAAGGAAGGAGGGAGGAAGAAGGAAAGAAGAGAGAGAGAGGAAGGAAGGAAGAAAAAGAAAGGAGAGAAAGGAAGGAAGAAAAAGAAAGGAAGTATGAAGGAAGAGAGAGAGAAATGGGGAAAAGGGAGAGAGAGAGAGAGAGAGAGAGAGAGAGAGAGAGAGAGAGAGAGAGAGAGAGAGAGAGAGAGAGAGAGAGAGAGAGAGAGAACATCATAAAGATAAAGCTCAAGCTTGGCCCTAGAAGGAGTCTATGAGAATGTACCTCCCCCCTTCTTTGCTGAGATAGAGGACAAAGGTTGTAGACCACTGAATAAATAATGCTGGGCACTACTGATGTATTGTTCAGGAGACTTAGTTAAAGTACTTTTCTCTCTTTTTTATTCTTTGTTATAAGCAATAGCACTGTATGTGAAGAAAGGAGGAAAGAAAGAGGGATGGAGAAATGAAGGTATGTAAAAACAAAGGCTATCTCACACACACACACACACACACACACACACACACACACACACACACAC